TTGACCTAGGATCCAGGAGATCGGGGTTCGATTCCCGGTCAGGGCACATGCCCGGTTTGCGGGCTAGGCAGCTGATCAATGGCTCTCTCATCATTGATGTTTCTATCTCTCTCTCTCCCCCTCCTTTCCTCTCTCTGAAATTAATAAAGATATGTTTAAAAAAAAAAAATAAAACAAAAAATAAAATGCACAGTTCAAGAATTAAAAAAAAAAAGAATAGCTCAGAGACTTCAGTGATGTCTCACAGTCATAGGCTGAGTTGGATCCATGTATCTCAACACGTTTAATAAAATACTTGAAAGGAACTCTCCACTCACCTCAATTATACAATTCAAAATAAAACAATAAAATCATTTTCCCATCTAATCTTTATGTTTTATTACAATCCTGCCTGAAAACTAAATTCAGTATTATTTCCTTTCCAGGTCATTGCTGATGTAACATTTCTCATACCAATGTCTAAACAGAAGTTGAGCATCTGTGAAAAGTTGGACAATAAATCAGTANATAAGAATTCTGCTTTTATAATGATATATAGTAAATCTTTGTTTTCTTCATTAAACATAATCAAATACACATTCAAGACTGTTATACTGAGCATTTACAAGACAGACAATCCCAGAATGGTTTCAGTATGCTAATGTAAGGTACACATACAACTTCTTTGACCTAAAACAGTCACAACTCTTCTAGCAAACCCTTTGATTTTTAAATACTAGACAATTTCAGTCAACAGCTACCAAAACAAATTGCAAAATATAATACAAAAAAGATGCTTAGGAAGGGCACAGCATGGCTACAACCTAAGTCAGAGTTTGTCACCTAGAACAAAGTTAGAGTCCTTAACAAAGACTGCACTTAAGAATAGCTCAGAGCCCAGTCGGGCGTGGCTCAGCGGCTGAACATTGACCTAGGATCCAGGAGATCGGGGTTCGATTCCCGGTCAGGGCACATGCCCGGTTTGCGGGCTAGGCAGCTGATCAATGGCTCTCTCATCATTGATGTTTCTATCTCTCTCTCTCCCCCTCCTTTCCTCTCTCTGAAATTAATAAAGATATGTTTAAAAAAAAAAAATAAAACAAAAAATAAAATGCACAGTTCAAGAATTAAAAAAAAAAAGAATAGCTCAGAGACTTCAGTGATGTCTCACAGTCATAGGCTGAGTTGGATCCATGTATCTCAACACGTTTAATAAAATACTTGAAAGGAACTCTCCACTCACCTCAATTATACAATTCAAAATAAAACAATAAAATCATTTTCCCATCTAATCTTTATGTTTTATTACAATCCTGCCTGAAAACTAAATTCAGTATTATTTCCTTTCCAGGTCATTGCTGATGTAACATTTCTCATACCAATGTCTAAACAGAAGTTGAGCATCTGTGAAAAGTTGGACAATAAATCAGTAATTTAAAATAAGTTATATATTTGGTATTATCTATTCTATCAAACTTCATATTTGCAAGTTTGTTCAAGTATATATGGCTTTTCTTTAAACCTGTCATCCAGTTCTAAGGATCAATTCTAAGGAGACATGATTAAATGGAAATATAAATAATGAGAAGTAATGACTTGTAATCAGATCATTCAAGAATTTCAGAAACTAGTAAGTTGAACCAGATAAAACTGCCATTTTGGTAGATCAAAAATGGTCAAATATTGGAAATTTTATTGGTTTGAATTAACACTAGTAAAAGCTTTTGTGCAGTTACCAGGAAATCCATAGGGAAAACGCTTTGGTCTGAAGACCCAAGCCTGAACCTAAACTACAGCAGAGAATGAACGACACACAAGTAGTGTGTTTAGCAAATCCACTATTTACGTAACAATACAGTTATTAACATGAAACACACCATCTAACAAAAAGCTTTTTAGATACTTTCAATCACCTTAATAAGGTATCAGAACAAATAAATATAAATTTCATGTAGACAACAAGCAGCAGCAGAGCACAAGTTTTGTGGCAAGTAAACAAAGTCCTATGGAGGGCATGCAAACCAAGTTTCTCTGGGGTAATTAATCTACAAACACTTTTTAACTGGAATAGAAATTTCTGTCATTTGATGAGAATTTCAGTTTGAGCTATTAAATGGTAACAAGGGAAAAAGAGAAAGATGAGTACCCCAATATTAGTTTCCCAGTAAGTAATCAAGGAGAAAAATAACTGAAATAAATTTTACTAAAAAAACAAACAAAAACAAACCCACAAAAACCTAGCTTCAACTTTCAAATAAAAAACTAAAACAGGTACTAGCTACAAATAATAGCCAAATAAATACTTATTTGCCTCAACCTTACTTACGACCTTTGGTTAGGAGGCCTCATTATTGTGTTTTCATTACAAATTTTATAACAAACAAAATTAAGTTCTTGCAGTCACTGAAGTTCACTTACATCACCAATTCAATATACTCCAAAAACCCTCTAATTTAATTGTGCAAGCTTATAAAATCAGTCACATTTTCAGACAAAAGCAAACCAGGTAATACAGCCACTAATATAAGTAGCAGAGGAAGTAAGCATAACACACACACACACACACACACACACACACACACACACACACACACACACACACAC